GGGCTGACGAATACATAGGGGTGAGCAGGGAGTGAAAGGGCATGTGGCCAATCCTTCCCATAGGGTGGGAGTGAATGGGGAGGGAGATTACTACAGTGCTGGCCAGGAGCCAAGGGCAGAGAGGAGATCAGTAGAGATAGCAACACTGGCAGGGGGAAAGGTCAACAGAGAGGATCAGGGAGGGCAGTAGAAAAGCTGCCAGGACAAAAAGAGGCATTGACAAGTTCATATTCTGCAGCAGGTAGCAGAAAATTGGAACTTGGAGCATAGGCAGAGGAACTGGCCTAAAGGTGAAGGGACTTTTCCTCACCTGTAACACAGGAGAGGAGAACTTGACTTAGAGGCTGCAAATTGTAAGGAGTTCCATTCTTATGGTTTCTATTGTGTTTTGGGAAGCAGGAGAAATGTGAAGATAAAGAATATCTGAAAAAGTTACATGAGAAAAGCGACAACAGTGGGTCAGAAAAATACAGCAGGACTGCCTTGCAGGGTAGAAAATAATGGAGAATTTGGGGTGGGGCTCATCTGCTGTGCATGCTATAACATGCTATAACAGGGCATGCCTGCTAGGCTTCCCAGTACTATGAGAAAAACTGGGAACCCAAGGAGCTTGAAGTGGATGGGTTTCCCTAGGAAGCCCTCTTAGAACTGCAGGATCCACTCCACGAGACTGCTAGAGACGAACATTACCAGTAAAGGAAAGAACATGAGCAAAAGTCCTGAAGCAAGAAAGAGCCAGGGCCCTGGGAGTGACAGAAAGACCAGGCTGAAAGACTCAGGAACAGAGTCCAGTATGAGGAAAGCCTAGAAGCCAGCAGAGGCCAGATTGGGAGACTAGAGTGGAAGGTGCTTGAAGGCCATGGTTAGGCTTTGTTGGTCTTTGTTTTTAAGAGGAACAGGAGACCTTCTTGGAGTGTTAAGCCAAGGTAGACCAAGAGGGCTCCTTTCCACACCGGCCCTGGAACTTGGGACTCTAGGAACCTCAGTTTGCTCCTCTAAGAAAGAGGGATTAAAAACAATGCAGTGGGGCTGGTGTTGTGGCTCAGTGGTAGAGCACTTGCCTTGCAAGTGTGAGGCACTGGGTTTGATTCTCAGCACTGCATATACATAAATAAATTAAATAAAGGTCCATCAACAACTTAAAAAAAAATCAAAACAAAAAAAACACAGTTCACAGGGTCTGCTGTCAGGTGTAACTACAATTTTGCACAAAAATATTTGGCAAAGTGCCTAGCAAAGAGCAGGGTCTCAGCCAGGTCTCACATGACAAGTTCTCCACACTGCCCCTCCCTCCCAGCTCCACCAAAAGCCCTTGGTTATGTTAAGACCAGTCTGAATCTCCTTTCCCCTGCTTGAACCCAGCACTGTGCCCAGCATGCAGAAGGTTATCAATAAACACTTGTTGATGGATTATCTGTAAGCCTAATGGGGAATTGAAAGCCTGGTCCCACAACCCAGGGAAAGCAGCCATTGGGGCTTTTGAATTACATCCCAATGACCACCAGACTTCTCCCATTTTCCCCACCTGGCATGGTCATATCCAGTGCATAGGGGGTCTACAGCCAGTATTTCCTGAAGCCCTCTACAATGGGGCTCCCACAGGTAAAGGATATCCCCTGAGATCCTTCACTATTTCCCCAGAGGTCTGGATCACAGGGGGTGGCTCTTGAACAGCGCTCCAAGTAATCAGCAGCACACAGGTTTTAAAACAATAATAAGTTGAAATGTACTCGCCAGGAAAGCCACCAACCTACAAAGAAAACCTTATCGCTGATCTTGCAATGAGCACCAGCCTCCCCTTTGCAAGAGCTGAGATCAAAAGATAAAGAAACTATCAAAAAGCCATCTGCCCACTTAAAATAATATCACAAGTCATGTTAGGAACCACAGACCTGGGGCCACCTACCAAAACAATTGTCTAAACGGGCTGCTTCAATTTCTCCTTAAAACCACCCATGTATTTTAAAAGAAAAACACCCTTTCCACCCACCTTGCCCTAGCAAGGTTTTGATTTCTCTGTCCCTTGCTTTTCACAACTCTTAAAAATGACCAAACTCTGTTACTCAAACTGTCTCATCTTATAGAAAGGGCTCCCATGACAGTAGGTTGAGATGACAACTTGGGAAAAATGACAGAAATGAAAGCAATTCTGGGGCACTAGAACTACTGGATCTCTTGATCTGGGAAGTGGTTATATAAGTGTATACATATGTACGAATCCACTGGGTCGTATGCTTAAGCAGTGCATTTTCTGTAGATATACCTCAATAAAACATAAAGGCAAAAGGAAAGCACAACACATTGAGAACACCAAGAATGAAATCCAGAATTTTCCCTGAACCCTGCCAGAACTTCAAAGAGGATCAGCACTTTAAAAAAAAATAATGTCCTTAGCATTTCTCCTGGTCCTGTCATTCACTAGCTGAGTGACTTTGAGCAAACTGGCTCACCTGAGTTCCCCGTTTCCCCCCTTAAATGGAGACCATCATTACAGCACCTACACCATATACATGCACACTTGGCCTCAATGAGAGAATGGACCTGGAACTCTTAGCAGAGTTCAGTAAATGCTGGCCACTCTTACGTAGCTACTACCATGCCTCAGTTACCTTGGCCACATTTGCTGTATTTGACTCAACCACACATGATGGTCACTCCCCTTTAGCAAATTAGGGAACTGAGGCCAGGCCACACAGCTGGTGATAGGAGTTGAGTCTAGTAGGGGAACTTAGAGAACTGCATGTGAATAACTAAACATCAATATAGCTAACATCTCTATGGCACTTTGAATCCGGCTTGGTTCTGAGTGCTTTTATTTGTATCATGTAAAGTAGGTGCCCATAATCGCCTGTTTTACATAAGATGATACAGTCAGTTGAGGCACAGTATGGTTAAATAAGTTGGCCAAGGGGCTATATGGTTGTGGCTCAGCAGTACAGTGCTCACCTAGCATGTGCAGGGCACTGGGTTCGATCCTCAGCACCACATAAAAATAAAATAAAGATTTAAAAAAACACAGCTGAATCAAATGTTTAAAAAAAATAAGTTGGCCAAGTTCACAAAGCTGGTAAGTGAAATGGCTAGGATTTGAACCCAGGCAATTTGATGCCAGAATCCACACTTTTGTTGTTGTTGTTACTGGGGATTAAACCAAGGGGGCCTTAACCATTGAGCCATAACCACAGCCCATTTTATATTTTGAGACAGGGCCTCATTAAGGTGCTGAGGCTGGCTTTGAACTTGCGATCTTCCTGCCTCAGCCTCCCAAACTGCTGGGATTACAGGTGTGTGCCACGGTGCCTGGCCAAAATCCACACTTTTTTATTTTTATTTTTTGTAGTTGTAGAAGGATGGCATGCCTTTATTTATTTTTATATATGGTGCTGAAGATAGAACCCAGTGCCTCACACATGCTAGGCAAGTGCTCTGCCACTGAGCCACAACGCCAGAATCCACACTCTTAAAGAAGTAATCATGCTGCTGACCTCCTTTAGACTAAATCTCAGGTATGGTGGGGGGGAGTGTCACAGGGTGGTAAGCAGGCACTTGACTTGACTGCTTGTTCACTCACTCAGGCACATATGCCCACCAGCCGTGAGAAAGGCCTTTTTTTTTTTTTTTTTTTTTTAGGGGGAAAGAACCTACTTTGCCCAGGCTGGTCTCAAAACTTGTAGGCTTGAGTGATCCTCCTGCCTCAGCTTCCCAAGAAGCTGAGAATACATGTGGGCATCACAGTGCTGGGCACGAGGTATATCTTTCTGAACCACTCACAGCCTAAAGCTTCCCCAGGACCAACAGATCCCACAAACACCTCACTGCAACCAGCAACATCTAGTCAAGCATATACAAGGTCCAAAAAAAGCATTTTCCCACTTCCAGTCCTTCCAGGAATGGGGAATTGTATGCATTTTAGAGAAAACCTACTGATCACAAGCTATACTTAGATGGCCACATAAAGAATCAGGCCTAGTGGCTGTCATTAAAACTTATATAATAATGGAGGAAACCTATGAAAATCTTGGATCAAAGCTTCCTGGGATAGAACTGGCTCTTTCTCCCAGTCCCTGAATGGTTACTGGAAGTGTGGCAATAAAAAGGGACATGAGCTTCAAGTCTACTCCCCATCTGGTTCTGCCTCTGCCAAAACCACTGCTTCCCTGAGAGCATGGCCTCAGTCCCTCACCTCTGCAGGCCTCAACCTAGATTACAGAGCATAATAGTAAAGAACGTGCACAGACTTCGAAGTCAGACAGGGCTGGTGTCAAAAAGCCAGGCGCCATCACTTCCTCAACCAGTTTCTCCACCTCTGGAACCCTGATTTTTTCTGTCAGATGGGGATCAGATTCCCTATTCATCATTTGCAAGGCTGTTGGTCCACACTACCATGTCACTTCAGTTCTCTCCATTCCAGCACACTGCCCATTCATTCACACCAAATTCATTCCAGCCTCAGGGCCTTTGCACTTGCCATTCAGGCTATCTAGAACCTTCCTTACCTATATGTACATAACTGTTCCTTGTCATTCAGGACTGTTTAAATGATGCCCCTTTCCTACCAATTCTCTTCCCCCCATCTCTTCTTTCTCATTATCCAGGACTCATCTAAAAGGCTCTCCCTGAACACAATCTCTAAAACAACCATTCCCTCCCAATCTATCTCCTCATACTTCTTTCCTCTCAGCAGCTAACCTTATCCCTACTTATCTGCTTGCTTGTTGTTTTTTTCAAACTGTCTCCCACAGGAGCTTGTATGATCCTTGAGGAGAGGGAAGATGTCTGTTTTGTTTAGGGCTTTACAGTGGAGCTCAATAAATGAATAAATGAAAAATCCCAATAATTAAAACAGTTACTAGCACATGTTTGGCCTCCACAACTATTTGACTGACTGCACTCTCCTCCCTGTTCTGAAGATAAGGCCTGAGGGGTTCCTGGGCAGGAATGCTTGCCCTCCATTCTACATACAGCCCTGTGTTGGCGGAGGTGGCGCTGGCAGACATTACCTGCGCCTCACTGGCTTCATGCAGCTCTTCAGCTGCCTGGCCTCAGCCTCCACCGGACCCTGGCACTCAGGCTGTGGCTCCAGCTGCTGCTGCTGGAGCAACCCTTCGACATCACTGGGTGTGGGAGCGGGTGCGATCCGGAGCAGGACTGTGTAGTTGCGGCCGTGGTTGTTGGCCCAGAAAGTGCCCTCGGGGGTCTCATAGCGCACCACGAAGTCGAGGCGTGCCCCATCACCCGCGCCCTCAGCAAAGGGCAGCTGGAAGGCAAAGCGGTCGGTGCGGCCGCCGTCGTCGGGTGAGGAGGCAGATGCCTGGCCAGGGCCCAGGCCGAGACCTGGATCCAGGATGGGATCTCCTGCTCCTGTTCCTCCTGCTCCTGCACCAGGCGGGCTGCGCGGGACGTAGCGCGCTGGGTGGTCGCAGAAGGAAGCCCAGCCGTCGTGTGAGGCCCGCACGTGCACCGCTTTCTCGAAGGAGCGGTTCAGCACGCGTACCAACCCGCGCAGCACCGGCGGGCGTCCCCCAGGCACCCACACCCCGGCAACCCCGGGAACCGCTCCGGGAGGCGGCAGCAACGCCTCCAGCTCCACCATGACGCGCCCCAAGCGCTCCAGACGGCCTGGCGCAGGCGGCAGCGAAAATGTGGGCACCAGATAAAAACCCCCGCCAGCAGGGACGGGGCACAGCGGCGAGGGCTCGGGAATAACCTCGTCTTCCTCCTCCCCTTCATCCCCATCCTCGCCATCGTCGTCCTCATCAGCCCCGCCGCCGCCGCCATCTTGCCCGGCCGCTGCCGCCATCTTGCCCGCCCCGGGCCCGCCCCATGGCCGGTAGCGGCGCAGCTGCGCCAGCGGCAGCCCCAGGGCCTCGTCGGCGAACAGCACCCTCCGCGGGGCCACCGCCGCCTCAACCGAGGTGCGGGGCTCGCCCGCGGCCGGTGATGGGGGCGCGGGATGCCGCAGCGGGGGCTCCACAGGGGCCGTGCGCGCCATATCGGCGGCCGCGGCGGCACCGACGGCACCGGCGGCGGCACCGGCGGGGGCAGGGCCTGAAGGGGCCGACAGCCAATGGGAAGGCCAGCGCGGGGGGGGTACAGCTCACGGGGAGCGTAGGCGGCGAGATGAAGACAGGTGTAGCAGAGAGCCAATGGGCAGCCGCGCACGGATGACGTAGGTGGTGAATGGCGAGCAGGAGAAGGGCACAGCCAATGGGGATGCCGGAGAGTGGGCGGTGTGGGAGGCGGGATGATGGGGATATCAATGGGGAGGTGGGAATGGGGGTGGTGCGGGCCCAGGAGGCCGAGAGCAGGAGTAGGACAGCTAATAGGGAAGTCTGAATGGGAGCGGCATTGTGGGCAGCGGGGAGGTGGAATGGTTTCAGGCGATGGGGGAATAAGGGAGCGAACCCACAGGTCCGAAAAGTGGGAGATCCGCGGGTTGCGTAGATAGTGGGACGTAAGACAGAAACAGAGAACAGCCTATGAGGAGACGCGCAGAGGTGACGTAAAGGCAAGATGACGATAATAGCCGAAGTGAGCCAGTGCAAAGTCTTGTAAGCCTGCTCTATGGCTTCAAGGGGAGGAGCCAGGGCGGAACTAGCCAATGCAGAGACCAAAAGGAGACCACGAGGGGGTGTGTGAGCCGCCACAGAGGTGGGACCGAGCAGGGCAAAGCCAATGGGGATGGGGATGAAGGCAGGGGCAAGGAAGAGAGATGGCAGATAGCCAATGGCAGGGGAGGCGGGCAGGGGGAAGCCAGTGAGAACTCAAAGGGCAGTGCTAGCGTGGGATTGACCAATACCAAAGCTAGATAGTGTAGCGGCAAGAGGGAAGAGCAGAGCCAATAGGGGCGGGGCAGATGGTGCGAAGGAAGGCAAGAGTAGCCAATAAGGAATCTAGAGAGGGGGCTAATGCTTAGGCAGATCCTGAGCTGTTGAGTGGTCTAGCAGCAGAACCATAGAATGCAGGCATCCAATAGAAAGGGTATGCCTCTGGGGGACATAGATTTTCCTTTCGCCCTAACCTTCCAGGACTCCCTATTGTCCTGGAAATGCCCAGAGAGCCTGAAGGCCTAGACAACACCTTAGTGTGAGACCAAAGAAATCAAAAAGGATTTCCCCCCACACGCCTACCTCCCAGGCTTTGCTTTGAACCCCACTCACTAGCCAAGAATGCCCCTGATTATTCGTTAATGTCCCAGATTGATCATTAGCAGTCTCCAGGATTTTGCACCACTGTTGAATGAATGCCCAAATGGAAAATGGAAATTTTTGAAAGATTAGCTTTTTCTCACTTCAGCAATGCTGAGCTTGACTCTATGCTACCAGGAGTCAATTGGGCATATTGATAGACACTGGCTAATATAACCACAAATCAAAGCCCTGCCTTTCTTGCCAACAGTGATACTCAACACCTCTTAAGTGGCCTCACCTTCCTTCTTTTTGTTCGAATCTCTGCTCCTACTATTTCTTCCACCCAAGACTACTATTCCTTCTGCTGCTTCTATCTACCGAACTGTTTTCACTCTCCCTTTGAGGTCTTATCTCCTACTGAACTGTAGCCTCTGTCAACTGAATATATACATGCATATATTCCCCCTCCACCCTGGGAGGATTTATGAAGCACCTACTGTATGCCAGGTTATGATCATGCCGTTGTCTCATCTAGTACAGCATCCCTAGGAGGGAGGCAATTCCCCCCAGCAGCCTCTCTTCTCTTTAGGTCTTAGAGTCCAGGATGGGGTCATGGGTCAGGAAAGAATATGTAATCTACAAGTTGCAGAAACATCATTAGATCTTAAACAAATAAAATTTTATTTCCTCACCTAAAAGTTCAAACTGGCAAGAGGTCCAGGGACGCCATTCCTACCCATGCATTTTGAGCATCAGCTATGTCCTGGTCTGGCCCCAAGACTCTCATTCTTAAGCAAATTCTGTGGGTTCTTTATTCAAAATATTTCCCTAATCCACCCTCTCACCTCCTCCTTCACTGCGAGCACTGTCACCAGTCACCTAGACTACTGTAGTATCTTCCTCCTTGCTGATTCTCCTGCCTCCACCCTCGACCCCAGCACTCCATTCTATGTTTGGCATTCCAGGGCATTCTGTTAAATCCTAAGACAGTTTATGTCTCTCCTTTGCTCACAAGCCTCCCATGGTTCTCTCTCACTAAATGTAAAAGCCAAGGTCCTTACCATGACCTAGAAGGTCATGCATGGTCTAACCCCACTAGTGCCTTTTTGGTCTCAGCTCCTAACCCTCTTCTTCTCATTCACTCCACCCTAACCACACCAGCCTCCTTGTACGCATCAAGTACACTCTTACATCAGGGCCTTTGCCCTGGCTCTTTCCTCGGGAGTTCCACAGATACATACATGATATCTCACCTCCTTCAAGTTTTTGTCAAAGACCCTCTTCTCTGGGCACTTTCCCCAACCTGTTTAATCTTTCTCATTCTCCCCAAATTCCAAGTCTTTTCAATGTCCTCCCCCCAGAATCCTTCTATGCAATAGGGTATAGTCCACTTTAGAGAGGAGGTAGTGACCTCAGCCCCTCTGCTCACCTGGCCCTGGCTTTCATTCTGCAAAGATCCTGACTTTCAGCGGCATTAGCATCACCCCTGCCACACTCTGAGTCCCACTCAAGTGGCTTCCTAAGATCCTTGGGACCACCACCCTCATTCACTTTTTCTCCCACCTCTCTAATCAATCTCTCACAAAGTAAGTGACACTAGGGAGAGATGGTCATGGGAAGCTATAAGAAGGGTGCAGCCCATACTTCAGACCCTGACAGAAAATCCCAGACCCCTCTCCCAGGAGGAGCGAAATGCTAGGGCAGGGAAGGTGGTCTCATCTTCTAGAATTAGTGTGGTGTATAATTACTGAGAGACATGGGAAATGTTCAGACCCAAGTCTGCAAGGAGCAATGGGTCATCAATTTGGGGGGCCTCCCCAGGACTTGTTCCTTACAAGCACGCTCCTTAACCCCTCCCGTGCTCTCTCCCACAAGCAACAATGGGGATCTGTTAAGCACTTGCTGTACACACAAGGTCCCTGTAGACCTTAGAGCTGGGAGGATCTCACCCCATCTTGGTGTTTCCTCCAGCCACCCAGCACACACATAGTTCATCTTTGTGTCATAAACATGTCCCACCAACTCTAAAGCCCCAACCAGTGAAAGTTTTGTTTTGAACTAATGATAGGGAGGGTTGGGGTTTTTATTTTAATTGTTGTTGTTGGGTGTGTTTTTTAAGTCTTTTTTTTTTCTATTCACTCTTTTTTTTTCCCCTTGTCTTCACAAAGACAGGCCATCAAGTCAAATATGGGCTTTTCCAGAAAGGTGAGTCGAGTTAAGAAAAGAGACCCTCCCTTTTTTTTTGAGAGATTAGAAGGTGAAGGGAGGAAAGGGTATGAAAGGGCAAAGGGGCAAAAGGGTAAAGGGGTGGGTCTTGGTCACTAGATTTGTATCATATGAATTAGAAGCTGTTTTCAATTTCTCTTCCCCAGGTCTGAAACCAGTCTTGCAGAAAAGTCGGAGTGGATGTTGGATGACTAGAACCCCAGACCACACAGGGCACTGGACAATGCATGGTGGGGCTGGAAGTCTTAGCCATGGCCAGTCAAGAGAAACCTCTGGAGGATGATCTCCCATGTTGACTAGTGGTTGGAAGAAGGGAATGTGCACTGAGATGAGGAGACGCGGCCACTGAATCTTGGACAACCTAGAAACCTCACAAGCATCAAGCCCCCAGAGGAATCTCCAAATCCCAGAACCTCCCTTTCCTGGCATCCTAGAATTTAAAACCTGAGACTACTGGGATCACAGAAACTGCGAGTTTCAAAGTCTAGCACTAAGGAAACAGCTCTCTGATCTTCAGCAAATTGGTCTGCTACTCTGTGCCTTCATTTTCTCCATCTGTATAACAGCGATACAGTAATGATAATAAGATGGACCGCAGAGGGCTCTGGTGAGGATCGGACACAACTGATTGTGGGAAATATCCAGTGCCGAGTATGGCGTGTGGAAATTCAGGATAAATGTCAGCCACCAGGATGATAGGTGATATTTGGAAATCTAAATCCTTGGAAACTGGGGCTTTTGCAAGTATAAAATCACAGAGTCTGAGCACATCAGAAGCATCAGCTATGGTGTTCATGACAGGAGAGTCCCAGTGTCCCAAGGAGCCTCTGGGTTTCATTGTGAGATTTGATTCATTCTACTAGGGGCCACTGGGGACCTTCCCAGTAGAGTGGCCACTGGATCAGACCTCTAAAGCTCTGGGACATAATGAAGTGAGACTTTTCTGCCTTCCCTAACTCAGTGATTCCTTGTGAGTTCAGGGAGTTAGTGATTCTCAGACTCCTCAATTCTGTGAATGGGTGGGGAGGTAGGGATGGACTTCCCACTTTTTTTTTCATGAAATACCTGACATCCCCCTCACTCTCTGTGGGAAAGAGGGCTGCAGGGGTATTCAAAGCTCCCTGTCTCTGGACAACACAAATAATGGTAACCATATTAGTTATACCTAAGAGGAAAATGAGTCCTGAAGCAAGGTGAAGCCTCTGGAAACAGGGTTCTGTTTTATCTCTTTCCCTAATGTTTTCTGTCCGCACATAAGACTTCACATTCCTTCTTAACCCAGACAGCCTCAGATATACTGTCACACACAGAATGGTATCTCTGGTGCCTCAGGATGCCTCTGTGATTTGAGTTCTTTTCCTTTATTTTTTTTCTGACTCTATACACCTTGGCTTAAAAAACTGTGTTTTCTCATGAGCCCTGTTATCTCATTGATACCTCTCACCTCTGTGGTGAGGGGAAGAAATCATATATTCAGATGACTCGTAAAGGGCAAAGAAAAAACCCAAAATTTCAAAATTTCCGTTTAAGTCTCATAATCAAGAAGAGAAGAAGCAGAGCAGAGAGAGAGAGAGAGAGGAGAGAGAGAGAGAGAGAGAGAGAGAGAGAGAGAGAGAGAGAGAGGAGAGAGAGAGAGAGAACTATGAGAACCCACCCCCCGTGATTATCAGCACATACACTCATCGAAATTGGATTATTAGAAGAGAGGTCTGTGGCTTCCACGCCGTGGTTTTTCTTCTCGGTATAAAAGCAAAGTTGTTTTTGATATGTGACAGTTTCCCACAAGCCAGGCTGATCCTTCTCTGTCAGTCCACTTCACCAAGGTGAGTGTCCCTGCTCTACCCCACCAAATGGGTGCCCTCATGGAGGAGATGGCAGGTAGGTAGGCACTTGGGGGGTCAGCGGCCTTCCAGTACAGTCAGATGCACTCAGCCACCATGAGCCCACTCAGGTAAGATCTTTTTAAAAATAATATAATAGTCATAATAAATACTAGGTAGGTGAAGTACTTAATCGATGCTTGGGCAGGGACAAAGATAAATAAATGGATCAATTGATACACAGATGGGTAGGATTTTTTAAATATGTCAACTGCCAATCTTTATGGATTTCAGGGTTTTGAACAACTTGAAATGCTGTCCAAATGAAACTGGAAATCGCAGTTGCATCTCTCTTCATCTCTTCCGTCTTGATGCCTCCCATCCCTCTTGTCTCTTTGTTCACCCTGTCTTCCTTTTTCTGTTTCTCTACCTCTCTCTTTCGACATGACATCTCTCTGTCTCCCTTGAACTCAAGCGCTAGGCTTTGACCGCCTCCCCGTCTCCATCTCCTCCATCTTGGCAACACTACATCATTGCCTTTCCTCTATCTCTTTCCTACCAGCGGCTCTCTTGTCTCACCTTTCCTCACCTGCCTTTCCACCCGGCATCTAGCACAGAGATTTGGATACAGCTGGTGTTTATTAATAGTGGGTCGAGTAATGTCGCTGAGGACATTTACATTTTACAAGAATGCGCGTCAGTTCTGTTTGCCCCAGCAGCAGGAGGATTTTGAGTTGTCAGGAAAGGATGAGAATTTAACTTGAATGTGTGCTTACATCACATGAGAGGAGACCCTGTTGGGGGGCACTTCATGCTGTCATAAACCATGGTTTACTGTATAGTGTGCATGCATGTGATCAGACTCTGTGTCCAGGAAGGCAGGCTGTTCAGGACTGTGACAAGTTCATTTCTTCAGGCTTAGCACAATGCTTGGTACATAGTAAGCACTAAGTATTAGCTATTAGCATTTTAACCAAATTATCAGCGTCCAATATATTGTTTTTGTTCCTGTTTTATTCAAGTAATAGCACTTTTGCAGTCTGCTAAAAATAAATGTTTGAACACATGACTGTTCGTGGCTGTCATGACTGTCCTCACATCAGCATGAATTCTGATTTGACAAAGTGCCAATTGTTGGACACTCAGGACATTTCTAATTTTTCTTCATAAACCACCGTAAATGGTTCCTTGGACTCCTAAAAATGGAGTTTCCGTGAAAAAGAGATGTGCATTTTTAAGGTTTCTGACCCTCTCTGCAAATTGTTCTTCCAAAAGTTTGTCCTATTTCATGCTTCCTCTACTCAAGCTAATCCTGGGTGGGTATTATCATTTTTTAAATCATTTCCCACTGGGCGCAATGGCACATGCCTGTAATCTCAGCGCTTGGGAGGCTGAGGCAGGAGAATTGAAAGTTTGAGGCCAACTTAGTGAGGCCCTGTCTCAAAATAAAAAATAAAAGGGCCTGGGGTAGTGGCTCAGTGGTAGAGTGCTTATATGAGGCACTGGGTTTGACAACATAAAGGCATTGTGTCCAACTACAACTGAAACAAAACAAAACAAAACAAAACAAAAAACTCCATGGATGTTGAGTTATTTTTTTAATAAATAAATAAATAATATAAAAAGGACAGGGGATATGACTCAGTAGGAAAGGGCCCCCAATTCAATCCCCAGTATCTCCTCCCTCAAAAAAATAATTTCCCAACTTAACAGGTAAGGAAAAAAACATTGCCATGTTGTTGAAATTTACATTTGTTGATTATTTTTACTGTTTATCATTCACTTGTACTTTGGGGGTTGTCTATAAATGTCCTTAGTCCTAATAGGGTATTCATCATTTTTCTTATTGATTTGCCATAGCTCTTTATTTTTGGAAAGGATATTAATTATCAATCATATGTATGCAGCACATATTTTCCCCCAATTCATCATTTGCATTTTCTATTTGTTTATGGGTTTTCTGTGATACTCATGATGTTTTTAAATAGTGAAATAGGTTAGTCTTCACTTGTGTGGTTTCTGTCTCTGGTTTTGTGCTTAGAAAGTTCTTTCCCACTTGAAAATGAGATAAATGTTCACCCTGTGTTGGCTTCTAGTCTCCTTTATGCCTTCATTTTTTCCATTTACTATAGAGGTTAAGAGTGTGGGTACAGGAGCCAGACTGTCTGGGACAAACCCAATCTCACCTCAAGCCATCGGTGTGATTTTCAGCCAGATACTTAACTACTCTATACCTCCATTTCCTCATATGTGCTATGATGAACATAATAGTACTTACCTCAAAGGGTCTTTGTCAAGATTAAATCTATTAATCATGGTAAGTGCTTAGCACAAGGCCTGACACACAATAAACCCAAGATCAATATTAGACATTAAAATGTATATCTGTAATGGATCTGGAATTTATTCTAGTGTATATGGTGATGGTGACATTTCAAACTCAACAGGGAAGGGTCAGTGGGAACACGGAATGATTATTTATTCAATAGCTCTTTTCCCCCAATTGTTTCAGAAATATTTTTTAATATTTATTTTTTAGTTTTCGGTGGACACAACATCTTTATTTTATTTTTATGTGGTGCTGAGGATCAAACCCAGTGCCCCGTGCATGCCAGGCAAGCACACTACCGCTTGAGCCACATCCCCATCCCCTCTCAGAAATATTTGTTAATGTATCCTCCACCCTCCCCCATGTTGAGATGTTGTATTCATCACAAACTCTATTCCTTCTATGCACAGGTCTTTGTCCAATCTTTCTCCTATGATCTGTTTCTCTGTATCTGTCCTTATACCAGGGCCACACTGTTTAGCTGTACATTGCTTTGCAATATGATTCAATACCCAGCCATAGCCATGGGCATCCCTAGCACCTTGTTCTTCCTTATCCTTTCTTATTTCAGGCAGCATCAGTCCTCCAACCAGAGGTCAGTAACTGTTCTTATTTGGGGCAATTCTCTCTTCCCTCTTTCTTTCTTTTCTCTCCCCCCCCCACCCCTGCCATTCTCCGTCACTTTTTCTCTGTGACTCTCAGTGTCTCTCTGTGTGAACATCTCTGTTCTCTCTCACGTCTCTCTTCATATCTCCCTGTATCTGTACTCTGTGTCTCTGTTTCCTCATGTCTGTCTGTTTCTTTCTGCATTTGTATCTGTCTATCTTTCTCTGTCTCTTTGTCTTCATATACCTCTGTCTCTCAGCCAGTCCCCTGGATAGAGGGGCAGTTGTCAACTCAAATCCCTGTAGACACCTAAAAACTCAACCAGACACAGGAGAAGGTCTCAGGCCCTCTTCTGCCACACACCTCTCCCTTACCACGTGTAGAAGGGTAAACTGAGGCCAAAATAGAGGCAGGAGAGCCCCTTTCTAAGCCTCATAGAGACACAATGGCAGAGAGGAGATACAAGATCAGAAATCAGGCCTCTCAGTGAGACCCTGACTCTGTTTCTATCCCCTACTATGGGCCTCAGTTTACCTTTCTGCACCATGAGGTGGAGAAAGTGGAATCTAGGTTGCCTTTCCCTTTTCCGCCTTCTCACAGTTTGGATCCTGACTTAAGCACAACAATCCATGATCATAACACAGGGTCTAGCCTAAGAAGAGCAGGGCTGCGAGGGGTCATGGGCCCCATGTCAGGAGGGTAAAGGATGGAAGAACATCAGTCAGTTTGGGTGTCTATAGAACTGGCACTGATTCTGGGAGCCTCTATCCTGGGGCTCCTCCAGAGAACCTGGTGCTGGGCTCCCTTCATGAGGCCCAAGCCAGAGACTGGATAGCTCCGTCCTCCTCATCCTTCCATCCCTCTCTCTACCAGAGAGCTCTGAGTTTTGAGACATTGACCCAAAATGAACAGGGAGACTGAGGCCACGGAAGTGTCTATTTACCGATCATTGATATTTTGCTAAGTTTTTCATATGGAATTACTTTGGAAACTAGCTTCTATTCCTATACCAATTTATACTGAACTTGACAAGCATTAGAGCCTGTCAGTGGCGAGATGGCCCCAGGCTCAGGAGAGGAAGATGCTACTCTGACCTCTGCCTTCATGGACCTCAGGAGGGAAGCTGAGGGTACACTTGCTGCTATTCTAGGCCTAGTGGGTGAGAGGCCCTCTGAAATAGTATGCTTCCTGTCCTTCAGGCAATTCCAGTTGGTTTGCATGACAGGATCATTGGTTTATATACCAATGGATCTGTGGACCCATAGAGTTTGTGGGTTTTTCTATCCTGGGCCTCTTTGAATCTAAAAAATGATGTCCTACAATTTGGAGATGTACTTGTGTGGACTCTATGAAAGACCCCAGGAATCCCAGTATTTGAGGGGCCACCCTAGCACTCAGAGCTTCCAACCTGGGACTTCACTGCGGCCCAAGAAAGGCCAGGTCTCTAGAACCCAGGGCTTGTCATGGTGGCCAATGGACGTCACCCACCACATCCGCCAGCACCCACATCACCCCACCTGGGTCGGCTGCAGGATGGGCCAGCCAGTTCTCGGAACGAAACCCGTGGGGTGAAGTCCTGCCCCCTTCTCTTCCTCCTTGGTGCGGATGAAGCCCAGCGCATCCGGCCGCCATGACGTCAATGGCAGAAAAATCTGGGGAAGTCGGGGGCTGTAAGAATAGGGCCCAGATGCAGACCCCGATAGGAAAACATAATCTGTGTTCCAGAAACATCCTCCATGCAGCTTCTGAGAAAACTAGTCAGAAAGGGACGCCCAAACAGACAGTGCAGGAAGCTGGCTGGCCAGCCCGGCCCTCCAAGTACCCCGCCACCAGACAGACCATATCCAGGTCCCCTTTCTGAGAATATATTTAGACTTTCCTGAGTCAGACCACTCGAGATATACTGGGGGAGGAAATTTCCTATAAGCTCTGGCCAAGTGTCCAGGTAGCTTCAGAAGTGCCAATGGGCCAGCCATGTGGGCCAGGCCACAGTGGTGGAAAATATCCAGTCACTCACCAAAATCAGTATTCTTTTGTTCAGGTTGCTGTAACAAAGTATCACAGACAGTGTGGCTTAAGCAACAGAAATTCATTCTCTCCTAGTTCTGGAAGCTAGAGATCCAAGATGAAGGCGTCGGCAGGGTTAGTTCCTTATGAAGGCTATGAGAGAATATGCCCCAGGCCCCCCTCAGCTTCAGGTGGGTTGTTGGCAATCTTTGCTCCTCCTTGGCTTCTGGAAGCATCACTTAATCCCTGCCTTCATTGGTTCACTCACTCATTCACTCACCTCCTCATCTCTCCACCTTTCTCCCAGACCCTTGGTCTGAGCTTCCACGGACCTGGACTTCGGATTCTCATACTAATATTCAAACCCTGGAGAGACTAGGAGTTTAATACTCAGACTCTCACGCCCATCTCCCTCAGCGCTACAGCTCTGACAGCCCCCATGAGGTGACAGCAAAGAAAGGAAGGACAACTGCCCCTCCCAGAAATCTCCTAGACTCTTCTCAGCAGCTGTGTGCCTAACCCAGTGCTGTGTAGCAGGACAGGGAGTCTCTCACACGTAGGCACAGTACAAGGGGCTTGTGAAAATGTGCACACAGACACACATGGTTCTTGGAGAAAGAAATGGAGTTCTCAAGTCACCATGGGACCATGGAACTCTGTACTTGGGTGTCCCTTTCAGTAAAATGGGGGTTGGACCAGGCAGTCCCTACTAGTTCTGGCTTCCTTGCTGACTGGGATTATGGGATTCTGAGAAACTGAGGCCATGAACTTTGGGGAGTGTTAATGCTAGGGGGTCAGTAGGGGGACCTGGAGTCACTACGGAAGGCTTTCAAGTAGAAAAGCAAGCATTTTGTGGCTTAGATAGGGAAAGAAGAAGAGTGGCAAATAGTATGAGCCAGGGCCTGGAGGTAGCCTTTGGGGAGTAGGAATTGGGGTGACTACTAATGGGGGCTGGGTTGAGGAGTTCACACAGGCTCTAGCTCAAGAAAGCATGTCCCTGGTTCTCTCTGGCATCTGCCATGCCACCTCCATGCAGGACAAGAGCTCAGAAACAGACTCTATCCTGTCCCTGAGCACCACACTCCTATACCCAGCTGCCCATCTGGCACGTCCATCCATGCGTTCAATGCCAGACTCTTCATATCCATCCACACTTGATTATCATCCCGACCCTGTTTGCCACATGTCCCTGATAATGTCAGCTCTGTTCGTCTAGCTTCTCAGGCTAAAACCCAGAAATCACCTTGACCCTCCCTCTCTCACCCACTATGTCCAAGCTGCCAGCAACTTCTCCTGACTCCACCTTGAAAATAGTCTCAGAATCCAGCCACTTCTAACCATCTCCCCTGTCACCATCCCAGTCAGTGCCAACATGATCACCTGCCTTGACTGTTGCAGTAGCCTCCAAACTAGTCCCCCACAGAGTAGCCAGATGAATCTTTAAGTCCATACCCATCACTGGAGTAAATCAATGCCAATTATAGTCTGTGACCAGTTCCAGCAGAAACAGCAAAGACTGTGCCCTATGCAGGGTACAGGGTTTACCAGGGGTGAGATTTGAAGACTCGAGTGGTAGGAGGATGGGCTGAGACCTACTCTAGCTAATGTCTCACAAACCAACTGCCCGTTGCCCTCATGGGGGAAACTCCCACAGCAGGGTAATACAGGCATGTGCTGGCAAGCTGGCCGATGGACCTGTGCATATGGGGTATGTGGGCACACATGCCTATTCCTGATAACCATATGTATGTGTGTGTGTGTGTGTGTGTGTGTGTGTGTGTGTGTGTGCACGCGCACACGCATGACTAGAGCTGGGGTGCGGCTTTGGGTCTCTTTATGACATATCCCCAGCCAATACCTGTTCTGACCAGTAGGGGTGTCCATGTGGTTCAGAGGATCTCACACCAAACCTAGCACACGTGTGACTCCTTCCCACTATGTCCCTGCAGACTGCCCTTGGACAAGGACCCAATGCCCAACCCCAGGCCAGCCAAGCCCTCTGCCCCTTCCTTGGCCCTTGGCCCATCCCCTGGAGCCTCGCCCAGCTTGAGGGCTGCACCCAAGACCTCAGACCTCCTGGGGACCAGGATCCCAGGAGGAACCTTCCAGGGTCGGGAACTCCGAAGTGGGATCCATGCCTCTTCCTCCTCCTCCTTGAACCCCCTGCCAACATCGCAGCTGCAGGTGAGGCCCAGGGCCCAGGATGGGGCAGGCAGGGTGGGGTACCTGGGCCTACAGGTGCCGACCTTTACTGTGGCACTGAGCAGGAGGGGTGCAGGCTGGGGCACAGGAAGTGGTTTCTGGGTCCCAGGCAAGTCTGTGACTTATGCAGATATTGCAGAGTCAAGAAAGTCCCCACCTGCCAGGCCTCAGAGATTTGAGGCTCTCCCCAACCTCCCAATCCCTGTTTCAGGAGAAGAAGAGATTCTATAATGATCCATGGGCACAACTATGTGTCCTTATCCCCATGTGACAACAAGAGATAGCTGGGGCCCAAGGTGGTGAGATAATAGGGTTGAGGCCAGCTCTGCCACTTATTAGCTATATGATCTGAAAAAAAAAAAATTACTTAGTCTCCATGAGCCTCATTTCCAAGTGTGGAGACAATCGTGGTACCTATGGTGGGGGACTACGGAGAGGAGCATATGAATTAGCAAGGATGAGGGTGGTACCTCACACGCCTGCCTTCTCCCTCCAGCTGCCCACAGTGCCCCTAGTCATGGTGGCACCCTCCGGGGCAAGGTTGGGCCCCTCGCCCCACTTGCAGGCACTTCTCCAGGACAGGCCACATTTTATGCACCAGGTATGGACCCTAAATAGACTGGGAAGAGGGAGCCAGCGGGAGAATTTGGGGGAGGAAACCCTGAGCCATGGCCCATATATGTCCCCCAGCTCTCCACAGTAGATGCCCACGCCCGGACCCCTGTGCTACAAGTGCGCCCACTGGAAAGCCCAGCCATGATCAGCCTTCCACCACCCACCACCACCACCGGGGTCTTCTCTCTCAAGGCCCGGCCTGGCCTGCCACCTGGTAATACCTTAGCCTGTACCCCATAACTTTAGAGAAGCTGAGAGTCTCCAAATCCTTGAACATGTGCAATACTGACTGTTCTGAATCAAGGCCCTGTGGGGGTCTGAGGGCTCAGGTCTTAGTGACATAGAAACTCTAATCTCCAAAAAATGTCACATTAAGAACCTTCAAGATGCAGAATGTCAACATCACGGAACCACAGATCTTTGCAAAGTTAGTCAAAATGTCAGCACCTGCTGATGGCTGTCTTTGAGCTATTCTGCCAGAAGCCCTGAACTGTGGGGATGGCAGAGTCCTTTGGGAGTCAGGGTCTTTGAAGCACAGGAGGGTGTGAGGTCTTGTGGGCCAAGCTGCAGAGCCTGGTCCCCAGCCCCAGAGGTGCCCTGTCCCTACCCATAACAAGTATGTGCCCTGTTCCTATCCACAGGGATCAATGTGGCCAACCTGGAGTGGGTGTCCAGGGAGCCAGCACTGCTCTGTACCTTCCCAAGCCCTGGCACACCCAGGAAGGACAGGTGAGTGTGCAGGGCTGGGGAGGATCCTTCACCTTATTGTTCCCCTCCCCTGACACCCTCTTGTCCCCTCAGCACCCTTTTAGCTACACCCCAGAGTTCCTACCCACTACTGGCAAATGGTGTCTGCAAGTGGCCTGGATGTGAGAAGGTCTTCAAGGAGCCAGAAGATTTCCTCAAGTGAGTGACCTGGTTAGTGGGTATAGGTCTAAGATGCAGATCTCCACTCAGGCTTCCTCTCAATAAAAGTAAGATGAAACAGGTAAAAGCTGAGAGTGTGGATTCAAATCCAGCCTTTGATGCTCAACAGCTGTACAAACTTGAACAAGCCATTAACTTCTCTGGGCCTCAGTTCCTTCATCTGTATAACGGGGCATGATAATAAAGATGCATACTGATATTTACCTCCGTCTTACAGACAAGGGAACTGAGGTCAAAGAGGGTGTGTCTTGATCAGGATTACCCATTTCCCTCGTGACAGAGCTTGGATGTGAACTCAGGCAGCCAGACTCCAGAATCCAAATTACTAACATTTTTGCCCTGTTAGGCCTCATGCCAACAGATCACATTATTGATCCCCAAAGTCCCAGGTCCTATAGATGGCTATTGCTGCCTTCCCTTGGGCCTGTCTCAAAACACACACACACACACACACACACACACACACACACACACACACACACACCCTCCTTTACTTCTGTAACATATGACGGAGGGCTTGAGGGAGGAGATGGCAGCTGAGTCTCTAAGGAAAGACCTCCCAGAGGGAGTGGCCATCCCCAACTGAAACATTGAGCTAGGAGGCCAGGCGCACCATGGTCACCTGCATGAATTCTTTCCCCTACCCAGGCACTGCCAGGCAGACCACCTCTTGGATGAGAAGGGAAGGGCACAGTGTCTCCTCCAGAGAGAGGTGGTGCAGTCTTTGGAGCAGCAGGTAATGCCTTCAGGAGGAAGGTGGGTGGTGGGTGGGTGAGCCTCATGTCCATACTGTGCCAGGAACCAGGATAATCCAGGATGAGTGTTGTGTAAGGGAAAGGAGGGAGGGGACTCCAGGGAGGAACACAGCTGGAAAGGTATGGTGGAGAAAGGCCAAATGGAAGCCCCATTTTTTGTGCCCATCCCCATAGCTGGTGTTGGAGAAGGAGAAACTGGGCGCTATGCAGGCCCACCTGGCAGGGAAAATGGCACTGACCAAGGCTCCAGCTACGGTAAGCTACCCCAGACCTGAAGGCAGAAGAACTAGAGAGCTGGGGGACAACTGAAGGGTGCATGGGAACCTGTCCTCACACACAGCCTCTGGAGTCTATGAGTACCTGCATATGTGCCACACGTGAGAATCTGTCCTCTTCCACTTGCAAACCCTTTGACCTTACCCATCCTGATTCTGAATTTCCAAAGCAATAACAGGGGCTGGGGGTGGGGCTGAGGCTCAGTGGTAAAGCACCTGCCTAGTATTCAGGAGGCCTTGGGTTCCATTCGCAGCACTGCAAAAAATTAAATTATGCCAAGGAGGTTGAGGCAGGAAGATCACAAGTTTAAGGTCAGCCTGGGTAATTTAGCAAGAAGACCTTGTATCAAAACAAAAAGGGCTGGAGATGTAGAGTACCCATGAATCCAATCCCCAGCACAACAAAAATATTTTTTAAAGCAATAGGGCCAGGTTGTGTGGCATGCCTGTAATCACAGCTAGTCAGAAGCTTGAGGCAGGAGGATCACAAGTTCAAGGCCAGCCTCAGCAATTTAGCAAAACTGTTTCAAAATGAAAGATAAAAAAGGATAAGGAAGCTGGGCGGGTGTAGTGGCACATGCCTGTAATCTCAGCGGCTCAGGAGGCTGAGGCAGGAGGATCATGACCTCAAAGCCAGCCTCAGCAACTTAGCAAGGTGTTAAGCAACTCAATGATATCCTGACTCTAAATAAAATGCAATAAAGGGGTGGGATGTGGCTCATTGGTAAAATGCCCTGGAGTTCAATCCTTGGTACAAAAAAACAAAAAAAAAGATAGGGATGTAGCTCAGTGATTAAGCACCCCACACTTAATGAAGTTAGACCATGTGATCCCTAAAGCACTGACTATATAACTTGGAGGGCCCAGTGCAAAATGAAAATGCAGGACCCATGTTCAAATTTCAAGATGGCAACCTCAGTGCATTCAAGTGTGGTGGTGCACGCCTATAATCTCAGCACTTGGGATGCTAGGCAGGAGGATCAAGAGTTCAAGAGTTCAAAGGCAGCCTCAGTGATTTAGTGAGGCCCTATGCAATTTAGTGAAACTCTGTCTCTAAATAAAAAAATAAAGTGATGAGGATGTGGCTCAATGGTTAACTGCCCCTGGGTTCAATCCCTGGTACAAAAAAAAAAAAGTGTGGGGTTCTGTGTGACTGCAGCACAGGTCACACTCACAAAACCAGTCCTGAGTGCCAGGCACTGTTTCGGAGCACTTTGCTAGTGTTTATTCAAGCCTCAGGATGCCACTGTAAAGTAACTACCACTATCATCCCCAATTCACAGATGAGGACAATTGAGGCCAGAAAGGTTTAGTTAACTCTCCCAAAGTCATAGTTGGGCACTAGAGAAGCCCTATCAGCACCACCTCATGATCCCAGCATCTGTGACTACACACCATGCGCACACCAGTATGGCTCATGCTGTTCCATGGGATTCCATGTCAGACTAGAATTAAGAGGATGCCCTTAAACACTGATTTAGCCAGGCATGGTGACATATGCCTATAGTCTCAGCTACTTAGGAGGTTAAGAGGACCACTTAAATCCAGGAATTCAAGGTCACCCTTAGCAGCATACCCACACCCTATCTCTTAAAAGAAAAAATAAAAACACTGATTTAAATATAAGAGTGGAGCCCAGTGTGGTGGTGCATGCCTTTAATCCCAAGGGCTCAGGAGGCTGAGGCAGGAGGATTGCGAGTTCAAAGCCAGCCTCAGCAACTTTGTGAAGCTTTAAGCTTTAAGCTGTCTGTAAATAAAATACAAAAAGAGGGGGACTAGGATGTGGCTCAGTGTTTAAGCACCCCCGAGTTCAATCTCCAGTGCCAAAAAAAAGAGAGTGGAAAATTTAAACCTCTGTGTCACCAGCCCCTCTTGCCTCCCCCAGGCATCATCTGACAAGGGCTCCTGCTGCATGGTAGCTACTAGCACCCAAGGAAGTGTCGTTCCAGCCTGGCCCAGCCCTCGGGAGGCATCTGACAGCCTGTTTGCAGTGCGGAGGCACCTCTGGGGCAGCCATGGAAACAGCACATTCCCAGGTAAGAGTGGTCTGTGCCCTACCCACTGACCTACACTCCTAATCCTACCTGGTGCCAGGCAGGGGTGCAAAGGATCTCCACATTACCACCACCCAGCTTTTGAAAATGCACATGCTTGTAAAAGCTTCCTCTCAGGATTTTTATGGCCTGAAAGTCCCCCATCATGGTCACAAATGACCAAAGAGCAAGGGACAATTTATATCAAATACTCAGTAACTGGTACCAATGTGTGACCATGGCCCTTCCCCTTGGGTTGATGATGGGATTTCAGGCATGTGTGGAGGAGGGCGGGACAAGGAGGGAGGAGGTCTTGAACAGGGCCTGATCTGTCCCCACCCTCTGCCAGAGTTTTTCCACAACATGGACTACTTCAAGTTCCACAACATGCGGCCCCCTTTCACCTATGCCACCCTCATCCGCTGGGTAAGCTGGACAGCTCAAGCCTAGAGGGGAGGAAGATGATGGGGGGCTACCAAACTCCCACCTTCCTCTGAACAACGAGTTCATGCTTCTCCAGTAAGAAACCCCAGCCCCGAGGAGCCCCAGCCATGCCTCCAATGTGATCCCTCCTGCTGGCTATACCCCAATCCTGTCCCTGAGCCCAAACCTAAACTGCCAGTCAGGCCAGTGTAAACCAAACTATGAACCCAAAACCCACCCCTCTCCAGATGTCCATGCCATTTCTGATGCCACCTTGATCCCATGCTTCACCCTATGTCTAACCCTGCCCCTGATCTTTCACCCTGTATGATCACTCTCCCTCCCCTCCCCTGCCCCACAATCCAACCCCCAAACCATAAGGCCCAAGGCAGGCCACTGCCCCTCTCAGGCCCAACTTTGGGGGAATGATCCCCTTACCCCACTCTATTCCAACTTCCAGGCCATCCTGGAAGCTCCCGAGAAGCAGCGGACACTCAATGAGATCTACCACTGGTTCACACGCATGTTTGCCTTCTTCAGAAACCACCCTGCCACCTGGAAGGTGAGTGCCTCTTGGAGGTGGTGGTGGCTGGGATGGACACAGTGCCACACAATGTAGGAACGAGCTAACTGGGGGCTGGGTTCAGAGGCATATGAGAAAAGAGCAGGTCAGTGCTGACAGGGGATGCTGACCTCAGGCCACTGACCTGCCCCATCTCTGGCTGATCCTCCTTCCACAGAATGCCATCCGCCACAACCTGAGCCTGCACAAGTGCTTTGTGCGAGTGGAGAGTGAGAAGGGGGCTGTGTGGACCGTGGATGAGTTTGAGTTCCGCAAGAAAAGGAGCCAGCGGCCCAGCAGGTGTTCCTACCCTACCCACAGCCCCTGACCTCAAAACCAAGAAGAGGAAGGATGGACAGGAGCCAAAATGGGGGGCAGAGGTGCCCAGGGCAGGGGTGGCAGGCCTTGGACATGCCCACAGAGACCAAAAAGTGAGATGTCTATTGTCTTGCCTGCCAGGGCCCCTGCTCCCCAGCTGGCTGCCATCCCAGATCATTTCTTCTGCACCAAGGCTGCTTGGAGGGGCCCCAAGACCAGCCCAGCTCCCACTCCCATTCAACCCCCCCAGTCAGGTTCTCCAGCCAATCAGAGGCCATACATACAGCCTGTCTCAGCCACTCTCACCTCAGGGGGTGGGGGAGAAAGTCACACAGACACAGTCACTATCCTGTCCCCTGTATTCAACATAAACCCTAAATCACAAATCCCGCCTTAGTACATTCAAACACCCTCAAAGCTGCATAGTTACATATCACACATGAGTGCAGCCCCATCAACCTGAAAGCACATACCCACTGCCAGTCTCTGGGCCCCCAAGTTCAGGGTCACACAAGGGTGTTCCCAGAGCCCCGCACAGAAGTAGCGATCAGTACCCTCAGGATAGCAGGTTCCAGAATGTCACACAAACACACAACTGGTCATACACAGGCTTATGCAGCGCCTAACACATGTGCTCACTCACACACAGCCTGTTGGATTTGCCTGCGTATCTCACATGTGTGCTCACACAGCCCCCCACACCCCCGGTATCTCCCAAGTCCCATGAAGACACACAACAACTGACAAAAATGTACCCCATGTCTCACTTGCCACCCACCCCACTCCCATGGCCGAGCCCGATCCATGCCTCAGCCTAGACTGCAGAAGAGCCCCTCCTTTATTTGGGATCCAAGACCCCCAACCTCCAATGCCCTTCCCAATAAACTGCAGCCAAGCTCCCACGTGCTGGATGATCACCCCAGATCAGAGTTGGGGTCAAGTGAGCAAGTGTCTGAGACTAAGACCACAGCGGGAGGAACCGGTGGCAAATGGAGGGAATAGCTAGGGCAGCAGCACTTGGCTACCGCCTCCAGCACCCCACATCCCTGTCTGTGGTTGGGGAGCCCTCCACAGGAGCTCCTCAGGCCTCCCGCACCCGGCCCAAGAGGCCAGCATTCTCCTGGCGAAGGGCTCGGTAGTCCTCACAGATCTTCTCCAAGTTGCTGTGGGTCTTCTTACCCATCTCCGTCTCAATCTAAAGGAAAGTGAACACACTTGCTCAGCACATAGATCCCCTTTCTTCCACAGCTCCTCCTCACCACCACCTCCACTGCAGCTGCCCTGAACCCCTCCCACCCCCTGTCCCACTGCCAGGCCTCTGCACGTGTCATTCCCTCCACCTAAAGTATCCTTAAGCCAAAGCCTCTGCCAGCAGCCCTGGGAAGCAAGTTTGAGGACCGCAGAGTAGAAGCTAAGGTTCAGAGAAGGCCACCAGTCTGTTCCAGGCTTAGGTACCAAGTGACAAGGCTGAGCTCCAGTTATAGGCTGTCTGGTCCCACAGCCTCTCTCTGTCTAAGTCAAGGAGCTGTCCCCTGACCTGTTTCAGTTCCCCTCCCATATCCAGGCCTCTCACCTGCTCCTCAAGGTCTCTAACCTCCCGCATGATAGTGCCCGTGTCCTCGATGGTCTGGATGAGTTGGCTACAGTTCTGGGGATGGCAGGAATACGAGGCTTGCACCCAAGTCAGTCCCTCCCCAACCAGCCCCCCAAGCATGCTGCTCTCCTCACCTCATGCAGCGCAGCTAGATACTTGTAGGCCTTCCGAACAGCATCATCTTTCTTGGCATCCTGACCAGGCAGAGGGGACCTTGAAAAAATCAGCTATCCACTGTCCCCCACCACCTCCATGCCACCACCCCGCTGCCTTCATCCTTCATGAAGCAAGTTCTGAGCATTATTATGCCTACAGGACTCACTGAGGGCCTGGGCCAAGCTGGCCCATGAGCAGATGGGCCGGCAGCAGGCTAAACCCCACGCCAAACCTCATGCCAGGCCCAGCCTGCCCCACACCTTGAATACGAGCTCATCAGTCACTGCAAATGTCCGGTCCAGCTTCCCAGAGAGGGAGTTGATTTCCTTCTGAAGTTCCTTCGTGTCAGACAGGATCTGGCAGATACCAGGTTGGCCATGAGCTCAGGGCAGTGTGTCTAGGGCAGGGTGGCTGGCCAGCCGAGGGTATTCATATGCATGTACTCACATCAATTCAGGGCCTGTGTCACTACATCAGGGAGACTGGAGTGGACTATTCTGTGCTGGGGTGTGCAAGACAGCTCTGCCTATCAGAAGCCATGAGGTTCCCATGTGGCCACCCTACTTCTGTCTGCCTACATGACCCACCCAGCCAGGCGTGGTGGCACAAGCCTGTAATCCTAGCATCTTGGGAGGCTAAGACAGGAGGATCACAAATTTGAGGCCAGCCTTAGAAAGTTAAGGAGGCCCTAAGCAACCTAGTGAAACCTTGTCTCAAAATGAAAAAAATAAAAAGGGCTGGGGATGTGATTTAGTGGTTAAGCAAGCACCCCTGGGTTCAATCTCTGGTATATATTTTATATATGAGAGACCCACCCGCCAGGGCCACTGCAATGCACCTTAGTGATCTCTTCCTTCTGCTTCCGGATATTGCCAACAATCTCCAGGATGCGCTGGGTATAGGCCAGCCGGGACACGTCTCTCGGTAAAGTCTCCAGTTCTGACACCTAGGTAGGGACACAGCAGGTATTTCCCAAGGACCCACACCCCACCCATCTTTGCCACCAGGGCCCCTTCATGGGCCTTACCAGCTGCTTATAGACTTCCTCCTTCCTGCGGGCCTCTTCAGCAGCTGCCTGAACACTCTGGTGCAGTTCCTGGATTTCTGCCATCCGTCGAGAAGATTCCAGCTACCAGGGACCCACAGGCAGAGGCAGTGAGCAGAGCTCAGAGGCAGCCTCCTAGAGGGGCACCAGACTTGCCCCATGGCCCCAGACCCCACCACCTACCTCCCTGCAATCCTGGAGCTTTCGAAGGTGACGGTACTCAGCAAGAAGTGGAACCCGGTGCTTTTCCCACTGACCCGCCAAATGGATGACCCGCTGCGCACTGCTCTCCACCACAAGCTATGGGTGGAGACATGTCAAACAGGCTGGGCCTATCCAACCCTGCCCCACCAGCCCAAACCCAGACTCAGCCCCAGCCCACCTGCAGTTTGGCGAGATTGGCAGCCCCGTCTGGTAGAAGCTCCACTGCCCGGCTCTTCAGGCGCAGGGCCTGCTCACGCTCTGCCATGCTGAGCTTACTCTGCCGACACTCTGTCTCCACCTGGCACCACATCAGCCCCACCCCCAGTCACACATCACAGTCCCCAATGACCCCAAGAAACCCTGGCCTAGCCTGAGGCCCCCACAGGCCTCTATGATCCTCCAGATCCACACTGATGCCCAGGAGCCTTGCCCACACAGACCCATCTTGCCCCGCCAATGCTCACAGACCCTCAACACCATCTACAAGGCCTGACTGATGCCCATAGGTGCCTCTAACCCCAATAGGTCCAGGAAGCACCCAAACCCACATCCCCTTTTGCTCCCACCAACTCAAGAGCCCCAGAGATTCCCAATATCCTCCATGAACCCTTCTAACATCTGCAGACCTCAAGAGACAACCTCCAGGTCCCCTCAAGGCCCTACTTCTGGCCTGACCCAGCCCATGGCCCTTGCCACAGCCCCTCACCTGCACAAGGCTGATTCCTAGAGTCTTCATGTTGGCTTCCACTTCTTCAATGTTGCGGTTCATGCCCTCCAGCTGCTCCCGAAGGGACTCTAGCTCCTGTTCTTGAGTTGCCCGTGTGTCCTGGGAGGCACAGGCCAGTCAGGTGGAAATGCCAGACCCAGCAGACAGTAAAGGGATCAGGAACCCCCCGCAAACACACGGACTGCTCTGCTCACCTGTTCAGGCTGACTGGAGGTAGTTGGCACATCTGATACTGGGGCAGCCTGGGCCTGGTGCTCCTAGGGGGCATGAGGAGGGACAACCTGGATATCAGGGAAGGCCCTGCCTCTTATGGCCTGGCCTCAACACCCCAAAGCTCCTCCTAGTGCTGTACCGATATCCATTCAACTACTAACAACTGTCAGAATGTGACTAAACAAGGGGAAGGGCAACTAAAGTGTCTGCTCTCAGAGAAACCTCCCTGGTCCAGATGTAGCAGCCCTAAATGCCCATGAGAAGGACGAGGGTCCCTCTGGGTGAGCATCCAAGGAGAGAAGATATATCCAGAGGAAAATGACTGGGGAAAGATGGGGTTTGTACCAAAAGCACCCCTCTACACTTACATGGTTCCCACCTGTATGCTCTTTCTCCAATGATGTCCCAAGAAGCTAGGGAAGCCCTCTGAACACCTTCCCTAAGGAGGGAAAGGGCCTACCTTGTGGGTATATGGGACCTCATGTGAATAAAAGCTGCATTATATATATAAAGCAGCCCTCACCAGATCAGCACCCCCACGTCCACTCAGGCCCACCCACCAGATGAAAGGTGAACTTCTCTGAATGTGTGAAGCGGGATCCCTTGGGGGCGCCAGTCCTGGCCCCAGCACCCCAGCCCTGAAGCAGCTCCCCCAGGTCTCGGGCTTGTGTGGGTGCTGCAAGTGGGCTCCAGGTCTGGCGCAGGTGCTCAGCCAACTGTCTGTGGAGCCGCTGCCGTGGAGCCCGGGTGTCCTCCTGGAGAGAGCAGGCAAGGGAACAGGAGGATGTTGAAGCCTACTGGCCCCCAAGGCCCTGCCTCCTCCAGAGACCACCTGATAAGTCACACCCTTCTTCCAGCCTTTCCACCGAGTTAGGTCCCTTCCTCCACAGGCTTGTGAGCTCCCTGAAGACTGGGAGGGACCTCTTCCCCACAGCCACACTTCTCTCTACCTACTTGCTCCCCACCCTGGAAAAGATGTGGGTAGAAGCCTGGAGCCCCTAATCAGAGAGACCCACAGAAAGAGATGTGTGGGACAGAACAGAGACAGAAAATCAAAGAAGCAAGGCAAACAGTTAGAGAGAGACAGAGTTCGAGAGAGGAGAGATAAGGCAAGAAAGAGACAAGAACACAGTTTCAAGACAACCGGGGAAATTTGATTTGAAAAGCACTAGGCTATACCTGGGGTGGGACACGAGGTGCCCGGCGTACCCAGTCCTCATCACCAGGGCGATCCCGGCCTACATGCTGACAGAGTTGGATGGCATGGTGTTCAAGGAGTGAGGCCACCCTCCCCGAAGGCCGGGGCACCTGTGCAGGGACTGGCAGCAGAAGGGGACTCGTCTGGAACTCCCGTGTCTCTGGAAACAGGAACAGAGTCAGCCGGCCCTCCTGCATAAAGACCTACCTCTGCTCTGCT